CTTGTATATGCTTTGTTCCTTTCAAAAATAAATAGTCGAGAGTTAGCGCTTGTATGTCTCTTTCTTGTCCCTGCGTTTTGTGCGCGCTAAAGAAAAGTTAAAATATAAACTTTCTGCAAACCTACTATGTTGCGCTGTAGCATTGCGATAACTCGGATAGTATCCAGGCACTATGGAGGTGTCGGCGGCCCGGCTTTCTGGTTCGGCTGCATGGTTAATCTTGTTTGGCCAGAAGCTGCTTCATGTCAGCTGTCCACGCCAGTGTGTCAAACAGCATACCTGTCCCCAGCCATGTGGCAGATTTGGGCTGCACTCCTGCATATTTTTGTTCTTCGCGTAGTCAGTACATCGTATCCGAGGAGAGACCATGCAGAAGACGTCACCCTTGCACACCAATTTGTTGTTAAAGCACATCGTTTGCATGCTGTGTTGATTTGTAGTTTTTGCTTGATATATGTCGGCTGCCACCACTGCTTCTGCATTGCATCTCGAATATCATTATTGTTACTAGTTTATTTAAGGCACACCTGTTCTACTGCCACTTGGTTCTTTTCGTGCTGATACCAAAGACGTAGCACCAGTATAGTCAAGGAGTACTCTTTAATTTAGCAACTTGTAGCCCAATGTATTTGCGAATTGTCGATGAAGTGTTCTGAGCGAAGCGTCTGACATCAATGTGTGCTCATTCTCGCTTTACCTCCTGTCATTACAGGTCTTCACAGCAGTCATGGAACCTTATAACTCCATCCTCACCACGCAAACGACCTTCGAGCATTCCGACTGCGCTTTCATGGTCGACAACGAGGCAATCTACGACATCTGCCGCCGCAACCTCGACATTGAGAGGCCCAGCTACACGAATCTGAACAGGCTCATCGGCCAGATCGTCTCCTCTATCACTGCCTCTCTGAGGTTCGATAGCACCCTGAACGTCGACCTGACGGAGTTCCAGACCAACTTGGTGCACTACCCTCGCATCCACTTCCCCCTCGTCACCTATGCTCCGGTCATTTCTGCCGAGAAGGCCTACCACGAACAGCTCATGGTCTCCGAGATCACGAACGCCTGTTTCGAGCCCGCCAACCACATGGTCAAGTGTGACCCCAGCCGTGGAAAGTACATGGCCTGCTGTCTCCTGTACCGAGGGGATGTTGTGCCAAAAGATGTAAACGCAGCTATTGCGGCCGTTAAAAACAAGCGCTCAGTCCAGTTTGTGGACTGGTGTCCCACCGGATTTAAGGTGCGCTATAGCGGCCAGTTTTAGTGCATCGTGGTTAGTCTAACTGAGAAGTACTTAATGGACGAAACATTGATGAGGGCTGGCAAACAGTGACAAAAAAGTGTAAGGGATGTTGTTTGTGAATGACTGAATCGATTTGGGAATCTCGGAAAATTTGGTGCATGGATTAAGGAAATCTGGCAGTGCAAACCGAAATTCGAGAGAAACGAGCTCCGTCTTGTAATCTCATTTTCCCCCTCGTTCAATTTGAGCTCAAATGTTTTTTTTTTAGAACTTCAATGGAACTTTAAAAGGGAGCCAGAGATACACATTTGTAGAGTGAAACAACGAAACTACTTATATTATCCTTAAACATTCTGGTATTGGTGTTCATTATAAAGTTTTATTTCGATCCTTCACTGTCTGCGATAATTTCGGCTGGTTTCATATTTCTCTGAAACGACTGTTGGTACTGCTGTTGGAGAACAGCTTGCGCACATGTAGGCTGTAAGGCTCACCTTTGGTGTACATACAGTGATCTATTGCTTCGTGCGTTCTCTAGTGTTAATTATTGAACCTGGTTTGTATCGCAGGTTGGCATCAATTACCAGCCTCCAACTGTTGTACCCGGTGGTGACCTCGCCAAGGTCCAGCGTGCTGTGTGCATGCTTTAGAACACAACGGCCATTACCGAGGCCTGGAGCCGTCTCAACCACAAGTTTGACCTGATGTACGCCAAACGGGCCTTTGTCCACTGGTACGTCGGTGAAGGCATGGACGAAGGAGAATTTTCTGAAGCCAGGGAGGACCTTGCCGCTCTCGAAAAGGATTACGAGGAGATAGCCGTCGACTATGCCGAGAATGATGAAGAAGAGGGCATAGAAGAGTTTTAAAAGGGGTTGGAGCCCTCCTGCTCGGGGTCGTGGAATACAAGAGCAGTTACTTGTTCTCATATTGCAGCACTTGGTTCGGCCTGGCTACTGCCTACAGGACGTAAAAAAGTTGCTGTAACCTTCAATGGTCTCGATTATCAAAGCAAATGAAAGTGACCCTCAAGCCTCTGGCGATTCACACACTTCCTTTTTCAGTTGTTTTTCCAGACACATCACGAGGACAGGTGGCGAGATTGACGGGTACGCTCGTTACTTTATTTCGCACAGGACGAACACACGTGTGCACATGTGTTCGAGTCTTTGCAATAGTCGTCGCAACGATTGTCAACGCAAATACAGCTTTCGGAGGCATACCTAGCAAGCGAACCAGTGTATCTCTGAATTCCAGGTGCCGTAGATTTTTTTGCAGTGCACCGTTCCATTGTGTGTCCTCTTTGTTCGAATCTTTCGCAGTTATTGCGGGCGTCTGCGTTCAATGCTGTGTTTTCACCATTCTGTTCCGCGTCATGACGTTAATAATTGCGTCAGAAGGACGAGTCGATGGCGCACTACCAAGCTGCCACAATGAGTGTTTAAAACAAATTACGTAAATGTTACCTGTATGTTATGTCGATCTTCATTTGTGTCAGATATGTCGTCTGAGATGACTCGCTTAATGGCAAGCAACATTTACGAAGACGAAACGAGTCATCATGACAGTGCATACATGCATTGCAATCGGCATAGAACAAATTACAGGGCGAACACATATCCAGCATTAGCGTGGGATATTTGATGGTAACCTTTTGCCAGCAACGTGATGGACTACGAATAATGGTCCAGCATCAAGAGATTGAGCATTGACACATTTTCCTCTGTATCGATTGATTGATTGATTTGCGGGGTTTAACGTCCCAAAACCACCATTTGATTATGAGAGACGCCGTAGTGGAGGGCTCCGGAAAGTTTGACCACCTGGGGTTCTTTAACGTGCACCCAAATCTGAGTACACGGGCCTACAACATTTCCGCCTCCATCGGAAATGCAGCGCCGCAGCCGGCAATCAAACCCACGACCTGCGGGTCAGCAGCCGAGTACTTAAGCCACTAGACCACCGCGGCGGGGCTTTTCCTTTGTATCCGATGTCCTATGATGACATATGTAGACTTTCCATTTCATCTTACTGAATCCTTGATTGAATACATACCTTAATCCACTCGTACATTATTTCAGTACATCAGACCTGCGATCAACTTTCGTAGTTATGAGCAATTTTTGATCGCTATTCAGCTTTCATGTGATGTAAAAGTTGCAAGTGAATTGCTCATTATTGTGGTCCCGTGGGAGCGTGCTCAAGAAAAAGAATAGGGTAGGTTATACTTCATATCGCAATTGTATCGTAAATTTACGATGGGGGCGAAGCTAGGAAAGTTTTTTTTTCTGTGGGAGAGGGGTGGACGTATGAGGGGAGGGGGGGCAATTTTAGACCACCCAATAATGTAGGTTCGTACGTGTGTCTGTATGGGTGCGTTCATTTATACTACGAAAAATTGGAAAACTTCTGGGAGGATGAGGATGGGAATCTTCCCTCGATCGCTTGAGATAGGGTGGCTTACTTGAGGGGAGACGCGTAATTGCAGTGTGGCTAAAATAGCACATATAATAGGATGAACACCAGATACGTACAGGACACAGCGCTGGCTATCAATTGATTTTTTTTATATTGGAAATACAGAGAGTGTATATAGCAGGCGGATAAATAACAAAAAAGATACACAAATTTACGCTAGCGAGTTTCTCGGCGCACAGGTATCGATTCAGATGAGGGTTAACTTACAAGATGCGGCGAAAGCATATCTAAAAATTGAGCACGAGCGAAATGGCTTTTTAATATTGGTAGTAGTAGTTTTCTAGATTCGTTTTCTCTTGCCTATACAAAACTATTTTTTGTTATACCGTGGTTATTGGTTTTTTAATTGATTTACGTTATGTAGCAGTGTCCAGGGATACCATCCTCGCGAAAACAAGCGCAACAAGCGCAATGTATAGATATATATCCAACCGTTGGAAATAAAATTAGGGCAACCACTAAGGTGTGTCTCTTCTCTTACCAATTACGTTTGGCCCATTGAAGAAACTTATTAAATATATATATATATATATATATATATATATATATATATATATATATATATATATATATATATATATATATATATATATATATATATATATATATATATATATATATATATATATATATATATAAAATCAGCTTACCACTTCTGGTGTGGATGTTGGCATCGTTACGCAACCGTAAACAAGCGGTTAGTATAAAACCTAGGCCACTGTTTTAGTTGTTTACCGTATGTGTACATACATTTTTACATATATTTCAAGTGATTTTGTAACGTTTGGCTCAATTAAAAACTATAGTGCAGTTACCTTTCATCCGCATGTTCGCATAACATCGCAACATGTTCGCATAGCTACACAACCCAAATCCTCGTATGCTATTTCGTGGTTTTGTTTTTGTCTATTGTTTTCTAAGCTTTACACCAGAAAAAAACGACTGGTCATTGAGTTGGCCGTCCGTCCTGAATGTTTTGCCGCAAACTACAATAAAATCGGTTGCGGTTTAAGAAAACTACCGCCCAATAAAATAGGTCAGTAACCGTCAGTTCTAAAAGAACTGCACGCATCCCTACTGAACTCGAGCCAGACAAGCGCAGTTTTGCTTCTTCTTAGCAGAAGCCTCCAAAGGTCAGGATCGTGCCGAGGGCAGTTCTCTTTATGCTTTCCGCTCACGTTCCTGCGCACTAACCGCGTTGCTCCGATTGAGCCGTCCTGCTCGAGATGGAAGGAGCACAGCTAGCGTTCGCTCGCGGCTCGTTCGGCAACACTGTGTCGCCAACGTTCAAAAATGGCGCTGAAACTGATATACGGCTCCGCGATCGCCGTGCTGTTGATCGCCATCGCCTTCGTGTATTTCGAGCCTGTTCCTCGGGAAAAGTACCCGGGCTTCGTGCGCAAGGTCCACCACGAGTTGCTCAAGTCGGTGAAGTACGTGGGCAGCTTCTTTTGCAGCAGCTCGAAGGTGACCGCCAAGGGAGTGTTCACTCCGGAGGAGCTGGCCCGTTACGACGGCAGCGGCGACTCTCTCGGTCTTTATTTGGCCGTTATGGGACGCGTCTACGACGTCTCCAAGGGCGCCGAGCACTACAGGCCGGGAGGCGGCTACTCGCAATTCGCCGGTAAGCTTCCGCCAGCCGCGTTCCATCGGCGGCCGGCGCATCACTTCCTGGTGGTGCCGAAACCTGCCCGCGTAACGTTACATCGCCGGTTGTCACTTCCCAGGTCGCGATGCTTCGAGGGCCTACATTACGGGCGAATTCACCGAAGAGGGCCTTACGGACGACCTCAACGGCATATCGGATGAAAACCTGCTGTCGTTGTCGCAGTGGGTGGATTTCTACGAGAAGGACTACACCTTCGTGGGTATGTTGACCACGCAACCTTTTTCTATATTTTTTTCCGCAACGCGATCGCATGTCGTACAAATAATTGCCTGATGTGTGAAAAAAAAAAAAAACAAGTACAAGCTACGCGTTGCACTTTCGATTGTGTACAGCGCGTAACGTGGCAGCAGCGAGTTGGCTCGGTGGCAGGTCTGGCTCTTGCTCCGACGAAGAGGCGTGGCATGTTTCAAGCTCGCAGGTCTGGCATCGCATGATTTGGCATTGACCGAGCATAGCGTATTTACACTCGGTGATTTGTTTAGAGTGCATGAACATGAACTTGGCGTCACACGGCTCCCAAACTGCGATACCCCTTTGCGTAAGAGCATTGCGGTTGTGGGCACTTTAGATCGCGATTGGCTCCCATCCGCATCTTTCGTTAAAATAAACAAAAAAACAAAACGATCTCGATGAGAAGCTGGATAGCCTTCGACATTGATTGTGATCGAAACAGCACCTTCATCAGACAAACCCTTGTTAGAAAATCCACAATGGTCTCCTGCATACTCCTAAATTGTTGAGTGCTCTGGTGGTTTATTATTAGCCATTTTAGTTGAGGATCCACATGTGAATGATACTACAAGTTTGTGCTCTTGTGTGCATAATATTATCATTAGTAACAATGTAGCAATTGAACATATGGTGGCATTAGCGAGGATTTTTTTTTCCATCGCCACAACAAATTGTAGAAGTTATGTGAACTGACAGCCCAATAAAAGTGCTTCTGGAAAAAAAAAATTCTTCAGACCTGTGTTACTTCATTAGGCACTTAATTGTATCACATCATGATAGATTTAAAGTACTTGCAGTACCACAAGGGCATAACTGTAGTAGTGAAGCTTCAAGAATAACAGGAAGCATATTCACTTAATAAAATGTATGTAAACACACTTGAGCCAAGGACAAAAGTATGCAATTCTCTTAAAGCATAAAATACAACTTGGGAAAGTGGCAAGACACACAAACGAGAAAAATCAATGTATCAAAAAAAAAAACGCGAGGCCTGCACGGAAGGCACAACACAGCCACAGCGAAAGCTAGAAAAGCGGCCTTTTATAAACACTCATTGGGTAACTGCTGCAAGCACTTTTGCTTGATACCCACTATGGCATTTATAATAAAAATTTTTGGGTAGTAGTCCCGCATTCGCTCTGTTAATTTTCGTCATTCTTCTGAGGAGTGTGGTATTCGCTTAACACTTGGAAGAAAACTTCTGCCAATTATTTATGCCATTGTTGACGACGATGAGGAATTATGCCTGAAGTGGGTATGCGCCACAGTTAATAGGCGAACAAGAACAAGCTTTTGTAGTGGGTTGGAACATTAGACGACCCCGCTCCTTATGCTATTTGCATTGTGAGATGACTAGTTGTTCTTTTCCAGTTTTATAACGCTTTATGAGTCGTAATAATGTGATTGCTTTCCCAACATCAAGCCTGCCTGCGGTAAGCTTGCCAACAACTCGCAAACACCGGCATGGCTCAGAGGTAGAATACTGGGTTGGCACCCAGCGGTCCTGGGTTCGAGCCCCACTGTGTCATTGGTACTAGGTTTTTTTTTTCTAATTTCATGCGATGTGGTTACAGACACCGAAGGCGACGGTGGTGAAAGCGGTGGTGCCGCGCGTGCCCAGAGTTTCAATTTTATAACAGATTTCGCTGTAAAAGAAAATAATAAAAACTAACTACCTCGTCACTATTGCATGGCTCAGTTTTTGCTTATCACTTGCAAATAGCACTGTTTATTAGTCATTTTATGTCGTTGTCGTGTGCATGCTACAAACTTTTTATCATGACTTTCGCAAACCTTTTTGTATGACCCTTTCAAGTTATTTCCTTATGAAAGTACCATCCTGTCCATGTGTGCAAATTTCCGGCAAGGTGAGTAGTCGTAATCACTGATGCCCTCAAACGGTCAGCATTAAATTAAAAAATAAATGAAAAAAGGGCTAATGTTGCTTTCTTTTTCATTCTTCATATATTGTGTCAATGGCTACACTTGAGAAAGAAAGGTGGACGAAAAGATCGTTTGCATTGGCAGAAACCAAACCTGCGTCTTTCAAATAACACGTCCAATGCTCAATCAACTGAGCTACCGCAGCAACAGCCCCGTACATTTTAATGCATAGGTGCATATAAACATGGGAGTGTCAGTCAGTACCCTTAGCTATGACGGCGAGTGACACTTCTTAAGGAGTGAAGCTCCTTACGGCGTGGGTCTGTCGCTCCTCCTTATGTATGTATGTATGTATGTATGTATGTATGTATGTATGTATGTATGTATGTATGTATGTATGTATGTATGTATGTATGTATGGTATGTATGTATGTATGTATGTATGTATGTATGTACGTACGTACGTACGTATGTATGTATGTATGTATGTACATAGCCACCGGTGGCTGTGTACATACATACAATTTTGAGGAAATATATAAAACTTACATTTGCCCTACAGCAAAAATGATTTATGTATGTATGTATGTATGTATGTATGTACATAGCCACCGGTGGCTATGTACATACATACAATTTTGAGGAAATATATAAAACTTACATTTGCCCTACAGCAACAATAATTTATGTACCAAATGAACACACTATATCCTTAAAACGTGTCAAGTTTGAAAACGCTGCTTGCATTACTTTCGGAGAAAAAAAGATGGGGAATGCGTAACTTGTTTTAAACTGTCGCAAAATTAGACATTTTTAAAAGCTATTTTCTTAAGGTCTACAAACTTGAAACCGTATGAATTCATTCTTCATTAGACATGCATTTCAGGTAAAAAACATCTTCCTTGAAACAAAAATATTTGTCTTTTTGTAGCATCTGCAATTTTCGAAAATGACAGGTGACAAAATTGGTGCCTCCGTGTTGGTGAAGTTTGATATTTTTTTTCTCGTAAGTTATGCCGTTAATAATAAAACGAAGTTGACTTTCGGGCTACCTGGTGAGAGGTGCACGAAATATAAAATACTCAATGAAATCTAAAGTATAAACAAAAGTGGGTATAGCTGGTATGTGCCACCAGTGTTGCTAGATGGGAGATGGCCGTACTTGGAGTGTTCACTAGATAAATGCATGAATGGATGGACAGACAGACTAGCAGACGGACGGACGGATGTATGGACGTGCGGAGGTACGGACAAATGGACGTGCGAACAGACGAATTGACGAACTAGCGGATGGACGCATTGGTTGTCGCACGGATGGTCGCGCGGACGGACGGAAGCACAGACAGGCTCACGGACGTTTCGCCCCACTCATCATCATTCACTCCGTGGATATGCTGTGATTTTTTATGCCTGTTGGCGTCATGTAGCGCGTGACCTTATTAAAAGCTGGCAGCTTACCAATAATTCCTTGTATACTACCTGAAAGCACCAAGTCTTCCAGCAAAGACCCTCGCTATGTACGAAGAAAAGAGATGGACTTTTAAGTGCTTGTTTTTCTTTGTTAGACACAATATGAATGAAAACTAACAGACAGCGAAGTCAAAGAAAGCATAGGGGCTGGTATTAGTAGTATTGTAATGTAAATCTGAAGAAAGAAAAGTGGAAGAAAAGATCACTTGCCGCTGGCAGGACCTGTGCCCTTCGAGAAAAGAAATCGATGCTTTACCAACTGAGCTACAGTGATGCCGTCCCCCCATCCACATCGTGGGGTATTATATGTGCAAATATAATATGAGAGTTTCAGGTAGTGCCACTAGTCGCCAGGACGACGAGTGGGGAGCAGGTTTTTTTCTGCCTGTGTGCTATATTTTAATCCTGAATTCATGTGCCAGCACCCATAGAGTTTCATAAAATTGCACGCTTTTTTCTCTTAACAGGTAAGTTGGCCGGCCGCTACTACAGTAATGAAGGCCAGCCAACTAGCGAGCTGCGGGCCGTCTGGGCGGCCATAGAGAGGGCCAAGCAGAAGACATACGTGGCCCAAGAGCAGAACAAGAAGTTTCCACCATGCAATTCTGAGTGGACTCCGGAGAAAGGCAGCAGCGTTTGGTGCAGCAAGAAAAGGTGAGCTGAACACTAATTTTGCGGTGACGGATGCAGATCACCCAACTTGGATTATTGCAGGTTTCCGTTTCAGGGGCACCAAAGCACTTTTTCAGCATTTTAAGAAAACATTACCGATCTGTAGTCAATGCTCTTGTGCACATCTGAGCCAAGTACTGATGTTCTGCATGTTGCAGGGAATTCACATTCTCTCATTAAAAACGCTTAAAAGCAAGGCGTGCTCTACCCTTTGCACTGTCATCAGTATTTACAGAGCAAACAGGCCCAACAGCTAGTCGTTGATTTTTTGGTGATGAGAATATTCTCGGTACGTTTGATCCCTCATATATCAGACTTGCAAGGAAACTGGAATTATTTCTATAGATGATATATTTAGATACAATACCTTTAACAAATTTACCCTATTTTTGATGCAAATGTAATTTCGCAAGTTTCCTTCACTGCGATTTTTTCTTTAGTTTTATTTTTCTGAAGTTTGCATATGGCATAAATGTCAGCAGTGCCTCAGCATCTTCATGCACAACTGTGCACACTTGTCGGGAACAAGAAACCTCTTGTTTGCCTTCTCCCTAATGTTAACCTCGTTTTTCAGTAATCAACTTGGCGCACTTCTTTGGATGCTGTTTGTAGCAGCAGCATTACACTTTTTTTTTCTGCGTTCAGGGGCGCTGATTATCACCTGCCGTGTGTTAAACTGCCAGGTTCTTTCTTTTTCTCGCAGCCATTTCTTCACAGGGACGCTAACGCAAATATTATGTTGTCATTGATCGTTGAAGTAGCAGTCCGGAAACCTCGTAGTGCTAATTTCATTTTAAGGAAAGGCTAATTTTCGTATAAAAATCACATTTTAGTGTTCGGCACGAAGGTAAGGCACTTCAAATCACCTGCCCGAACGGGCCTTCTGAAGTACCATTTGCCTTGCCCATGTTGCTGGCCTTTACTACGTGCCCGCCGACACTAGTATCAGCAGAACGCGTGGAAGGGCACATTGCAAACCTTGTCCAGTTTGCAGTTGATCTTGTAATCCTCCGCATGAAAGTGCAACGAGCACATGCGCAGATTTTTTGGCTGTTTTGCACACTGGCGCAGAAACATGGCACTCAGCCACTTCGAGTGTAAGTGTTTGTTTTGTGGCACCCAGCAGAAAGTCACGTCGGTCTCTTTGCTGCAGCTCATGTGGCATGCACCCATTCAGGCATCTGGCAACATCGCATGCACTTGGCATTTCATCGAAATTTCTGTCACATCGACTTTTGTGAGTGTGCCAAACGTAACAGAAGTACCACTGAGATGCCACCCCATGAGCGAAGCATAGTGTGGTAAAAATGGAACTTTCGAACCACTCCCATCATTTTCCATAATAATGACACGTGATTTTTTTCCATGAATCAAACAGAAACAGACAAGCAGCATATTATTACGGAGTTTATTACACAGACGGCTCTTCTTTTATTGCAACTGGTTTGACTACTAGTAACTAATTGTACTCGGGACTCTTTACGTCGCTAGGATCATTCGAGGATGGCCCACTGATGGCGCATAAGGTGTCACGCATTTATCATAAATTTCTCGGTTAGTGGAGCTTTGCTGTTGATAATACTGATGTTTTAGACGTTCTCAAACATTTATCCTTCACTGTGATGTAAATTGTTATTTGCCTTTAGGGACCCTTTTAAGAAAACAAGCAGAGAGGCAGACAATAACCTCACAGCGTGGGTGCAACGACGAGGAATCATGAAAAAAAGCGCGTTATAGCAAGCATTAGTTTTGACTCGTTCTGCGGAGAGCTCTCCTAATTGCAGCGTTCACTCTCTCAGATGCACGTAGGAAAGTATCCTTCGGTGAAGAAAAGTCAACTTCTTGGGGTGCCTGCACTGCCTGGTGTTCGAAATATCAAGTGTTCTAGCTAATTGTGGTCGATTTAGCCATGAATTCTTTATGCATTGAAGTTAAAAAACTGTCCCTTTTGAAAATAGCAACAGAAAGGGTCATTCGATTAACCCGAGTTAAATATAGTTGGGTATGACTAATTAGGGTCACAGCTAATTTTTAGTTCATTGATTGAAGGGGATGCATGTCTGCCACGTCAAAGGATACCTAAAATATTGCTTTACATTTGCTCTTTTGGCCTTGATTGACAGTTGTCCGCTCGGTGTTTCATTTTCTCTTATGCTCATTTCAGGCTGCACCATATACTACATGTGCACTCTTTCGAATGCCATACACCTTGGTTGCTTTTCTTGTACTGAGCCTGCTTGCTGTGACAGCACTGATCAACACTTCGAATGTTCCAACGGGTATCACTGTATTGGAATTTAAATGGTTGAAAATTTCGAAGTATTCTGAAAGAACGAATAGATATACCATACTAATCTGTATGTAATTTCCTGTAAAGGGGGTTTTACTGCAGTGGAGGCGAGCTAAACCGTGAGAACATCTATTCAGGGGAAATCTGCATAGCCGCAAAGCCTCACTTCAAGGTTAAGGGAACATGTTGCCCTCACATTGATTTATTATTTTTGAAGTTTAAAAGCTTGTTATATGGGAATAAATGCTCTAGGTAAATGTACATTTTAAAACATAACATATTTTATAGGTTATTACTTGCATTCAAATGAATGTCGAATCCTGCTACTATTCGAAGTTGTTTCCGCTTCCTTTGAGCCAAAAATAATGGCGTTTGCACAGGCTTTGTTCCAATTTTTAAAAGATATTGGGCAGTTTAGTTATTACGAATATGCCTATTTTTGTTTATATTATGAGATATATACTATTAGAATACAATTCAAATTTATTTGACCAAAATTACTTTTTGCTTCGAATTCAATGTGAACCTAACATTCACTACTAGCACAAGGCTTGTCAACACATGTAGTTGTTCCCTAAAAGTTATGCTTGCAAACACATGGCAGCTCTCTTTTACACACTTCAGGAGCTAGATGTCTTGGCGCGCATCGCTTTATATCGCCTCTCTTGGAACACACGGAGTCCGAAGATACGGTTCATAGAAACCAAACACAAGCATTTATTGAACTACTTTTACATCGACGATAGAGTCAGCCGAATAAAATATGTCATTAGTGATCAACACGCCAAAGCACAACCTTATGCAATATTTCAATACACTCAATCAACATAAGAACACAAGGTAACACGAAAGTGGCGTTGCCAACGCTTGACTCACCACGAGGGGCCCATGGCAGACGACCCGCGGCGCCGTCCCCATAGACCCACTGCGGGAGACTACTGTTTGTGCGAGCCGCCACACACCGAACAGCGCCTCTCATCTACCCAGCCTCGCCACCAGGCATCACTGTTGGCGCTATTGTGCTAACCATGATGAACTCACGCAAGCACTGTCTCACTTACCGCTCAGGGGCTGTTAATCCTAAGTGCAGCTCATCTGCTTGCTTGGCAGGTAGGTAGGCATTTTAATTAGTAGAGTCTGTCAACGGATTAGACAGATGCAGCAAATGGTAATGCGGACTTTATTATTGTTGCAGAAGCGTACGCATTTGGGCTGGTTGGTTCATGTTCACAGAAGTTAAAAAACAGCGCTAAAAAGACGGAACAAGAAAAGAAAGGACAACAGGACAGGGCGCTGACTAGCAACCAAATATGTTTTATATGCAATCAAAAATAAGTTTTATATGCAATCGACCTTCATCTGCCTGGATGATAAGCTTTTTATACAACGTAAAGGAGTGTGCATAGGGTCTTGCATCGCCCCCATTCTGAGTGACCTTTTATTGGCTAGCTTTGACCGCAATCTAGAGAGCAAGCTAGATCAGACGAGCACGGTAAAAGTGATGCGCTACGTGGATGATTTTTTAATTTTTTACCGCACTAACCCACCTGACGCGCAGCCTGCTGCTTCTAAAATAATTGACGTGTTCCGCGCAGAATTAAGTTCTTTTGAATTGAAGACTGAGCATCCTTCAAATAACAAACTACGCTTTTTAGACTTAGAACTGTCGTTCTCAAACAGCCACGTGTGTTGGGGTTACGCACCCAGGTCAAAAAAGGCCCTTCTTCCCTTTTCTTCGGCGCACTCAAAAATTGTTAAACGTGGCATTGCAAGAGCTTGCATGAAGGCGGCGCTCTACAGGTCCTGTGACCACCAAGTTGAAAAGTGTTTCTTTTCGCAAATTGACCGCCTGAAGCTTGCAGGTTTTCCTGCAACGCTTTTGACTAGTATTGCTGAAAGCCTAGTAGCAGTCTGTAAGGACAAGCGCCTGGCCACTGTGCAGTCTGAAAATAGCCGGCTAAAAAGCGTAGCAGTTATCCCCTATGTGCACAAGGTAGCGCACAATTTAAAAAAAGTTGTCGCCAGGGCAGGCATTAAGCTGCTATTTTCTGCCCAAAATAAGCTAGGCAGCTTATGCCAGCATGTTAATCGTGAGGCACCGTACAAAAAAGGATGTACTAAGAAGCACAGGCACAAGTTTGTGAAATGTCGTCATGGCGTTGTCTACAAGATTCCTCTTTCCTGTGGTCGGTGTTATATAGGGCAAACGGGCCGTTGTGCTAATGACCGCTTGCGCGAGCATTCAAACAAAGTTCATAATCGCGCTACAGATAGTCAGCTTTCCCTTCACTGTAACAACTGCGGTTGCCACCCATCTTTTAAAGATACCATTTTCTTATCATACTACCACGATGAACGTGCACGTCTCATTTCGGAAGCTTTTCACATTCATAACAGTGGTGAGGCATGTGTTAGCCTCCCTTCCATTTCCCTCCTTCCGAAGGAAATCAATTTTCTGTCAAACTAATTTTTTGGAATGCCTCTGCGCAGGCTCTCATGCCGCTGCGTAGGCTGTTTTTTGCGATAGTGCGGTGGTATATATGTATGCTGACTGAAGAAATAAACATATTTGGTTGCTAGTCAGCGCCCTGTCCTGTTGTCCTTTCTTTTCTTGTTCCGTCTTTTTAGCGCTGTTTTTTAACTTCTGTGTATTATTGTTGGCTCTGTGGGGTGGTTCACAATACCAATGTAATTGAAAGAACAGTGCTCATGTTTACTGTGCACGATTTAAATGATGTCAAATAGTTTATACATTTCTTTTTCTAAATGTAAGCTTTCTTTTTTATACTGCTTCAAATTTGGTCTTTTGTGATAAGAAATGGATGTATTTTTTTCCCGTAACCTGCTCCAACTTTGCATTGTAGTGCTCCAAAAGTTATTTCTCTCATTACAACAAAGACTGTCACGGGTTTATAAAGAAAACAGCTTTGCGGTTGCTTACATTTATATCAGTGCGATGCCCGTCACAATGTTTCTGTAAATTATATTGTTGATTTAAATATTAATTTTCTGTCTGAAAGTTGAAACTTTCACAAATGGAGATCTGAGACATTCTTCTGCAGCACCCATTCTAATGTGTACTTAACTCTCTAACTTTGCCATCCTTACAAGTGTTCACCAAAGAGAAATACAGTATGCATGGTTTAAAAAGAAAGTTTTTAACAGCGCAAATGACAGGAGGGGATAGAAGACACGAGAACAGAGTGCTCTCGTCTCTTCTATCCCCACCTGTCGTTTGGGCTGTTAAGCACTTTCTTCATCTACCATGCAGCACCAACCAGATCAATCAAGCACTTTGTTACGGTATGCACGCATACTCGCTAGTATATACAGTAAAATACCGATCAAATGCCGCTTAAATAAACCAATAAGTTAAATGAACATCTTTAATATCCCCCTGCAAAGCAAACCCAAAGGTGACACACTTCACTTTAACGATATGCAGTGGAGGGCATATTTCAGTCTTACGAACCTATTTCGTAACTCACCCAGTGCCTCCCAGCTAATGGCGATCACTTCAGCAAGTACAACTGCACATTTTACAGAATAGATTTAATGGGGCTTTTGCGAGAAGCACAGCCAATAGCATGCCAGCATATCTAATAGTGGAGGCTGCGGTGCTACATTGACAATGATGCTTTATTACCAAATTACGAAGAGTCAGGTTGCACACAGGGGCTTGAAATCCTTGAATAGCTTTGAATATTGGGAATTTTCACAGTGTCCGATTGTATGACTTACAAAAACTTCATTGCTTATCGTGTTCTGTGACAATGGGATTTTAAAATTGGCCATAGTCATGCAGCCTGTATTAGATTGGCGAGATCGAGGTATGCACGCATGGTGTTTGGCTTTGGTTTGCCATAAGTCATAAGCTGATGGCCACAATGAGGCTACAGCATCTTTGAAAAAACATGAGGCGTCACTGGGACCAGCTTACCCATAAAATACTGGAGGGCTTGGAGATAGCTAGACTGGGGGACGCGTGCATGAGTAGGGCTTCGGTTGCCCTGTCAGAAAAAGTTGTCTTTTTATTTGGGTGATTGCACGAGCTATGAGAATGATTTTATGCTTTTCTTCGACTATCACTTTTGTTCCTTCTTTTTTGTTCCACTGCATAGGTATATATGCGTGGTTTGAAGAATAAAGTTTTTGTTGTAAGTCAGCGCTCTCTTTGTGTACTTTGTCTGGTCTCTCGTTTGTCGCCCTGTTTGTTTTTTCAGCTATGTCGTACCAACACACCCAAGCAATCACTTTACAGCAACGTGCTTGAGCTTTCCTGAAAAAAGAAAAGTTGTGTGAATGTGCTTATTGCAGTAGATTACTATTAGTGTTTGAAATGTCTTTTTTCACTTCACTTTTAGTGGTGTTCCTCAGCAAACTGCAAAAAAAAAAGACAAAAACAATACATCACACTTGCTAGCCTCGGCCACTAGCCTAGCAAAGTCCTACAGCCTGCAAAAGGCTGTAAAGGTTTGGATTGATGCAGTTGATAGCATTAAGACATAAATAAAAAAAGACTGAAAGGCCTACCCTGAGCTCAGAACTTCTAGTTTAGTGAAACTGTGCAATAAGTGGACTGAGCATCCTTTCTTTTGTGCAATAAAATTTACCGGGAACTACAATCGTGTTTCCTTAAATTTTTTAAAAAGGCCTTGAAAAGTCTTCGAATTTTTCTCTTGAAAACCAGTACGAACCTTGAGAGTGCATCCATTGACTTTGAACTCGATTTGGTGCCTATATATTTTCGTAGTCAACTGGAGTTGATAGCGACAGCAACATTGGTAGCCTTAGCCCTGAAGCCACATGCCAAGTGGAAGTATATATCTCTGGATGTAATGCATATCACTGATACGCTTGGAGAAACTCAAGCCCTTTGCTGCCCAGCAATGTATTGTGCCAGAAAAGGTTCACGGGAGCTCGAACCCAGCACCTCGATCACTTGTGATGCAGCAGTTAGTTGTGACGGAGCAGTTAGGTTTGAAGGGTAGCTGAAGCGGCGGGTGGGACCCCATTGCCAAGGAAGCGTGAACGGCTTTCCTCGATGGGGAAGCCCGCACTGCCGACGAACCACGAAGACACATACCGGTGGCTTCCCGCAGAGGGTTCACTTGTCGGCCTGCGCTGACGGCAGAATCTGTAGCCAAGGACGCGTGGATGGCATCCTTGTGAAATGGTACCGGTCGACTGGATGGTAGGGGCTCGAATCGCATGTCGATCCAGTCGGGGCAGCCTGCCAGAACCATCTCCAAGAAAACTACACCGCCGCAAGAAACTTCTACCACGAGAATGCCTGCTCGGTCCACCAAAGGAAAATCGAAGTCGAACTACTTTCTCTGAAAAGTCGCAGCGTGGCCGAGGCTATAGACTGCTACGCGACAGTCAATGTCGTCCCGCGGAGTCATCATCAAAAAAGGGACCAACCAGGACCCAGTCCCCACCACGACATGGCGAACGACCCGGGCGACATAGCCAGTGTCGGCCGCCGCAGCCAATTTCGACAAACTTCCAGCGTGGTCGGGGTTGACCACGATGATGCAGCCAACCCCGCCCACCTGAAGCAAAGTCAACTGCTGCAGCTAGCCTCACCCACATGAACATTGTCGTGTGGCCCATCAACAATGCTTGCAGCCATGGCCGAGTGCGACGACGAAGACCGAAACTGGCACTCTGGTACAGAGGCGCATGCTAGGCGACGAAGAGAAGAACGAAGTCAGAATAAGCTGGCCCAGGATTTGGTGTTGTCTCTTGTTCTCTTTCTAGTACATAACAATATATATATATATATATATTTATATATATATATATATATATATATATATATATATATATATATATATATATATATATATATATATATATGCGGTAGAAAAAGAGGTCGACAAACGTGCGAAAAAACACTAGTTTTACTAACGTTTCGGCAGGTGGGCCTGCCTTCACTCCGACGAAGGCAGGCCCACCTGCCGAAACGTTAGTAAAACTAGTGTTTTTTCGCACGTTTGTCGACCTCTTTTTCTGCCGCATTTTCCACCGGATCCATTGAATTTCACTCCACCATATATATATATATATATATATATATATATATATATATATATATATATATATATAGATACATATATATATATTGTGGGCGTTCATTAAACACCTCATTGTTCTTCATGCATGTTCATTATTATGTGTGTTCCTCTTCATCTTCGGAACCTAATAAGGGTTGTGTTAACTGCTGTGTCACAAGTGATCGAGGTGCTGGGTTCAAGCTCTCGTAAGCCTTCTCCGGCACAGTGCACTTGTAGTCGAAAATTTCTGCGTTCTTCACAATGTGTTCAGTAACTACAAATTAATGTGCGAATGAGCAGCAAGATGAATAAATGGCTTGAAATGGCATTTAAATGTTCAATGCTTCATGCAGCTTGGGGTAAGAACACTATGGAACAGAACTGCTTCAGTTAAGCAAACAATCACTGTAACAAACTTCTTTGAAATTCGTTGAAGTGAAGTTTCACTGTACTGTGCAACTATGCAAGGTATGTCATGTGGTCAACAAATTTTTTTGGATATTCACAGTCACCAGAGTATGTTGAAATTTCACCTGATATGCTCGCTCCCCCTTAAGTCTGAGATGATGTTCTATTACAGACATTGCAGGCATTATTTTTATACTTGCTTTTGTCTTTGAATGTGTTCTCCTTTTAGTGGTGGAGTTGAACGTGACTGGGCCGGAGTTCCACGACAGTACTTTGAGCGGGACTCTGGCTCCGTCCGGTGCGTCTGCGTACGCAACACGGGACCCCCTACCGACCACCCCGAAGGTGCATCGCACAAGAACCGGGGTGACTTGGATGACCCCCATCTTAAGGAGTACCCAGGATGCCCTCCCACGTCTGACACATGCAAGGTGCCCGACTCCGAGTGAAACACATTAAACAAAGCACTACGTGTTAGGCATTTAGTTACTTTCTGCACAGAATTGCAAGACATCGTTTCCCTTTTTTATTTCGATTTCCGTCCTCGTGTACCCAGTGCATAAAAAAAATGTCTGACAATAATAAAAAAATGATAAGCTTGCAGGGAAGTACTAGTTAGCATATGGTATCCTATCTACTTACACAGATGAAGACATTATAATGGTTTACCTTGTGGAGCAGTTTTCTACCAAGATATTTTTGGGGTGTGGCTATGCTACATGAATTTTTAATCATTATATGCTATACAGCCTCAATAGATATGGGGTACAAATAAAATCACCACTTTCTTGCAGCACACGGTGCATTCTAGAGATTGTCTTGTACGAAAGGTGGTGCACTGTGGTCAGATGAAACGTCTGCCGTTAATACGCATTTGGCAAATCATTCACCGGTGAGGTAGCTGACATGTTTTCATTAGTAGGGCTAGTCTAGTGGTTAGTGCATCGTTTGAAGTGTGGCATACCATGTTTGCTTTTGGATTAATCATTCAGCATCGCCTGTGGTTGCTCAGAGTGGTGGCTTCAGTGTGCAGGGATGTGTGTGTGTGCTTTGCTAAACTATGCTGCGCACTGACGGCACTAACAAACATAGAATTTGTGGCTTGGAGGTATCGATAACAGAAATGGTCAAAGTATTTATCGGAATGCAGTTACACAGACACGAGGGGGGCATTCATGCTGTCGCTGCATTCACACAATATGGTAAATGACTCATCCAATGAGCTTATAGGGTCTTTGGTGACGCCCTGCATTTGGATGCAAAATAATGGAGCTTATTGAACTCACTGTCTTGTTAATTAAACTTAATCAGCTCTGTTATGGGGCTTCAATAATGTTCTGCCTATCGCTGTTGCCATAGGCCTTTTGCGTTTGTCTGTACCCATCTGACCTTGCTTAATAGTTGTGTACAGAACTTAGATGTGGTGGGTACACCCATCTGAGCAGAATGGACACTAAACGTCAAGTTGAATTCTGTTTGATCGCTCAATGAGGCACTGACTAATGCCAGTGATTTTTCATTGTTGCACTGTAGTACCCATAACAGTGGTGTTGGCGTTCATAATTGCACCAGCTTTGCAGAACGTCCAGTGTCTGGCAGTGTTTTGTTTCAACATGATCGTGTTAAAGAGCTCGTTTCGCAGAAATGTCAGCGTCAGTGTGGGCATCAGCGTAGGCATTATTGGTCATGAGCGAAAAATCATCATCTTGTCTGGGACTGAAAAATCGAAAAACATGCAAAGTAAATAAAAAAAACTAGCAGGTTCTAGCAAGAATCGAACCCATGTTGGCTATGGGGCTAGCAGGTGTCTTACCACAGAGCCTCAGTATTTTTTGAAACTGCTTTGGAAAAAAACAATATGAATGTCATGTAGTGGAAGAAGACTCTTTAATGCGTCAAGTGTTGTGGGGCAGAATTTTAGAATGTCACCAGGTGTCAAAAAATGTGAATTGAGCAACGAGTAGGTGTTTTAAAGGCCCAGGCTTTACAAAGTGTTCAGGCGTATTTAATCATTATCAGCAGCATAACCATCCGCAAAGTGAACAGTTGCGTAGGTTTGCGTGTTGCTCTACGAACGCGTAGTGGATCGTTTGATGATTTGCAAAAGAAATACTTGTGGCATAGTGGTCACTTAACAACTGAGGTTGCGACAGGCATTCAATGATACTTTAAAACGATCAATGTTTGGCGCATGGTCGCTCGTTTCTTTGCGGCACAGTTTAGGCATACATGGAGTACCGAGGCAGGTTAGCAGTTCAAAAGATGACACAAACGAGATTTGATTACGCTAACGCAATCTGCTCTTGCAAGGTAAACGAGCGTGCCTTAATTTTCTTCCTGCATAGCAGCAGTTGCTCTGCATGCTGTTTTACGCCAACATTACACTTCTGCGTGGTGAAAGAAAGTGTGAGAATGTTGATTGCAAAGCTTGATGTAGGTATGAGTCCATTGGTTCTCTGGTGAAACGAATGAAGTACATTATTTCTGTGTGAAGGCTTGTGGGTGTGGAATAGCACAAGCATGTCATTCTGTATCATAGAACAGCAAGTGTTGTTTAGCAATCTGGACTTGTTTGTAGCACTGCACAGATGGTGACAGGGTTGTGACATTATAAACTGATCCGTAAAAAATGGACACCTTTTGAATTTCAAAGTGTGTTCCACGAACGCCTGTGCCCATTGGTATGGGGTCTGTCACAGTGGAATGCAGTGCGCGTCTTTCGTCTTGATGATTAGACACACTGAGCACAGCGACGCCACGCAAGCAAAGCATTGGCACTGTAGAGTTCGACGCGTGGCATGACCAATGCGACCGGCGTCCAGTGGCGCGCCCTTGCGGCCACCTAGCACCGTGCCAGGGCATGGATGAACGGGTGGATGAATGTGAGCATGAGACAATAAAGGCTTTCACCTTAAACAGCGGACAAAATTGGTGTGTTTACATTGTACTCAATATCATATCTAGCTTTTTCGTGGCTTTGTCAGTAATAGAGATTTGAAACTTAGTAGAGCTTGCACGAGTTTTTCGTGTTAGAGCAGCAAGTATTCAGTGGAAGAGTGACTTCATGACAAGCATTAAGCCTAGCTGGCCTCGTCTAATTCGCAAAGGTTGTTTATTGAGAGTGTGTTATTTATAGTGAACAGGTTCTAATCTAATGTTCATGCAGCTTGATTTCCTATTCTTGGTGCTGGTGGAAATGGAACTGAGGTGGTCAGAATGCTAAGAATTGTGTGTTGATGTTAGGCTTATTAGAGCTAGTTAAATGGCAGTTTCGTCATTTTCACTTTGTTGCTATGCCCATACTGGCTTAATAATAATTCGGCACCATCATGATGATTCAAAAGGTCACTATAAAGTTTACCAGAAGAACAAAACTGAAGAACAACTGTACGGATTTTGTCTTGCGATGATGGCATGAAGTACTTAAACGTGACAAATCTGTTTGTTTCTGTCCATGCACTCTCCCTTTGAACGTTTGTCACTAACCTTAGGTAGGCTATTACAGATAAGCGGTTGATTAGAGGTCAAGGTGATGAGGTGTTAAAGGAGCACTGACATCAAATTTACTCATGCCAATATTTTTGCAATAGCAAGTAGCTGTAGACCCCGTAGCAGTGATTCACGACCTAAAACCCTACTGAGGGATGAATAACAATATCACTTTTATTGATTTATATCACTGGTATCTAGCACTATTCAAAACGGCCGGCGATCCTGCCTTTTTTAGCGCTGGGAGCACCAGCAGTGGCGCTACCTCGCGGTCACCTCCAGATCATGCTACAGCTGACCACTTCTCCACAGAAAAGAGTGACGTCATGCTCAGCTGCTCCGCAAACATTTTGTCTGCTAGGCGGACACATTCAGTCATGCCTTGTCACCTGCATTGCTGTCGTCGCCGTACAAAGGGTCGACTCAGGTTCAATATGATAGTCTGGATCTTAGAATCCTTGCGATTCGCGACACCGCAAATTATTTTTGCTTGGATCGACCTTTTGCAGAACAGTGATTCTGGAATGGACGCTGTTTCAAGCAGCACTGCAGAGGTGCCCGAGGATGCACGCTTCAGCCATGTTCGCTCGTGTGTCTCAGTTAGCTATATTGGTATTTTTTGGCGTGCAAAGCATTCAGGTATACGCAGAGGGGTCAATGCAATACAGCTATCGCGAATGAGCATAAGCGGAGAAATAGAATACATTTCCTGCTTGCCAGGTTCTTTTGGCGCCTCCAGATGGCCCCACCTATTCAGCCTCTTGCGGTTAACTCGGTATTAGTACTACTCTTACGTGGACGCAAAGTCTACAAATTAACTAAAATTCAACAATACCTGCATGTTACTTGTTAGCGATGATATCTGACTTAGCGCTGTTCTACTTTGATAGCTTGTGGTCGTGTTGGCGTGTAAAACATACGTGATATGCAACGACACCCTCATTGCGCTTTTTGTACGCTTCAAAGCGATGCGGCTGCAACTCACAACGATTGCCCGACATGCTGACTGGCAAGCACACATTTAATCATGCTCCTTTCTTTTGCCATCCTTTTAAAGGTGGTTTTTATCTCGATAATTTCACGAAATCATTCAAACCGTTGTGACAAAGATCAGATGTGACAAGCGAGTGGGTTCCTGCACTTCGGCGCCAGTCGGCACCATGATAAGAACACTCGAATCGTACACGTCATCACTACCAGGGCATCATCACTCAGGATGGTATTTGTGAAATGTATCACACCGAACACGTAGCACATAGCAGGGCAGTCTATTTTCTGTTTAAAGACGGTAGCCTTTCTTGGGGACCTTCGACGCAAAAACTTTGGTCTGTCTGTCTGTCTGTCTGTCTGCCTGGCTGTACATTTGTCTGTTTGTCCACTTTTAACGACACCATCCGCAGCCCCCACCAATGTTGCTCAAAGTTTGGCGTTCATACTTATGCGATTGTCAATTAAAAAGCAATTATATTGCACACCTCTGGGGCACCATAATAACACCTATATATTCTGCATGTACGCCTTTTACTAGAAAAGGCACACCTAAGTAATTTTAAAGACCGTAGCGCTTATCACGCTTGCAACGCTTGCACGAAAAGGCGAGTGTTTCCAATGCTTTGCTAAGATGACACGGTGGTGGCCCCTACCCGTCGCCTTGCATTCTACACCTTATCACCTCTGAGACGGGCGCGCACACCCGTCTCAGAGCCACGCACTTCATTTTCCAAGAAAACTGCCAGATGGCGCTCATGTCTCACGTGTGACGTACTTTATACGTTCGTTCGCCTCTGCTGCACGCTCGAGGCACTGTAACGCAGTGCCTCCAGAATACCATTGACCGGTTTTCTTGCGCAGAACATCAAATAAATGTTTTGTTCACTCTCTCCACACGCAAGACTATCGTCTTTCGACGTCATTTGCAGATTAACATGCAGATACGGGGCCGATTTCTTATCCTTAACTTTTCTAAGCTGTTTGACATCAAATTAAAAACTGCCGTGCGACTGATGCCGCTCAAATTTCGCCAAGAAGACCTATGCATACCAAGCGATCGAATGATGGGCACATCTTCATCTGGAGATTTGATGTTGGTGCTCCTTTAAAGTAAAATGTAGTATCCATAGAACTTTTGGAGCTTGTGATGAATGAATCTCTTGCAGACACAGTGTAGTTAGTGTCTTGTCATATATCCTTTGGACATTTTGTGCAGTAATTAGTTATTCCCATACATGCGACTGCAACCATTATTTAGAAGTCTGTGGCATGTTTTGATTGTGCGATTTCCTGCTGCCGTCCCTATAGCAGCTGTTGAGTGCATGGTCGTATAACTAAATGAAACTGCACGTTAGCACTTTAGTAAACAACACAATCTGCAAGATGAAAACGATAGTACCTGCCCTTCTTTGTGAATGTGTGCTTGTTTCTTTTGAAGTTGCATTATGATCATGTGTGTTGTTTGAACATGAAACTGACCCTGGTGCTTTTATTTACATAATTTTTTAACCTTCTCATTCATATCATATTGTGTTGTGCGAGTGTGACTGTGCTTGTGCCGACGTCTTAAATCATCTTTTTAGCAATACTGGACTCTTTTCTTATTTGGCCACAGTGATCCAGAGAGAGATCTGAACGATTCTTGGCGCTCTTTTCGCTTTGAAGATGCACAGTTTGACCAGAATGAAACACATGTTAGGAAACACATTGGAACACTCATCACGAGCACTTATGCACATGGCTTGAGGGACCTCACGGCATGCCTTTGGCTTAACAGTTTGGTGCTTGTGAATAAACTTTCCGACTGCGACAACTTCTTAGAGAAAAATAGAGAAAAATTTGTGTAATTTTTTTGCCGTTTTTGGGCCATTCTGACCCACCTGTGCACATAATTATCAGGTTGTTAAAGTGCAAAGCCAAGTTTTAATTGTGGTTGCATATTGCAGGAACAGGTTGCATATTGCAGGAAAAGTGTTATCACTTAGAGGGACACTGAAGTCAACTATTCAGTAGACGTTAATTGTTGAAATGGCGGTCCAGAAACCTCGTAGTGTTACTTTTGCACCAGGGAATGGCCTATTTTGAAATAAAATCACGTTTTAGTGCTCCGCATCAGGTTAGCGCACTTCAAATTACTTGCCTCAAGAAGCAGACCTACCACACAGACTCGCATCACTGTTGCCGTGCACAACGTTGCCCGGCTTTACTGCGCTAGTAGGAGCAGGCCGAAAGCAGCGGGAGCCACAGCAGCAACAGCAGGAATTGATCAATTTCCCGCCACTGGCTTCGAGATTGCAGACGCTTTTGTTTCAACTGTGGGCTAGGTGGCACCACCTGTTCCGTGAAACCACGTGAAAATTTAATTTTTGAACCACTCGCGCCATTCCCCATAATAACGTCTGGCGGTTCTTTTTTCCATGAATCAAACAGAAACGAACAAGGAGCATTTTATTGCATCTCTTGATGCACAGAAGGTTCCTTATTTAGTGTAGTTAGATCTACTTCTAGTGATTAATTGTAGGTGTTTCGTCTGATGTAATCGGTATCATTTTGAAAATGTCCTACTGCGGCACTTGTGTTCTTGTGCATTTAACTTAATTTCTCAGTAAGTAGGGTACTGTTGTTGATAATGCTGTCATACATTAAGCTTTCACTCTGAAGTAAATTATTTGACTTTAGTGTCCCTTTAAGGTAACGATGTGTATGTCTAATAATGTGGCATTTACACTATCACACCAATAGATCATACAGAATTGATTAGTCAGTATTTTGTATGCAGGCCAGGAGGTTTATTGTATTGAACACAAAGTTGTACACGTAAAGGTTTGAATATGTTTGTGATGATTCCTCACGATTCCCGAAGCTTCATGGAGCAGTTTAAGACTGGCTAGTACGTGGCATGATCGCAAAGACATAATTTTATTTCTGGAAAAGCTTTAGTATGGTAACACTTTCTAGAAATAAGGGAAGTGATCTGCCCAAAAAGCAAATTGAATATATTCGAGACGAATGTTACAGAAACAGTGGTAAGTTGAGGTTTCTTATGTGACAAATTGAAGGCGGCACATGTCCAAGGTGCCTTACAAAGCTTCCTCTTGATTACAACTTTGTTGCCATTGTTCTGTACCGCTCGACTCTCCTGACTGAGTGCAGTGCTTCATTTTGCTTCTTAGTGTGTTTCATTTCATTTGTGACTTTTCTTTGGAAATTTGGTGGTTGTTGGTATGTATTTGTTGTTTGTCTGATCGTTAGGCATGGTAGAACATTTTAACATTGCCCCATTTATTTTCAGTGTTCCGCATTTACATGCTTCCGTCACTTTTAAAATGTTCTTTTGGCGCAAGAAGTGGACAGCTGCTCATTCCAGCAGCTTAGTTCTTAAGGGGGCCCTGCAACATTTTTCTTAGTAGGCATGAAATACCTTCACTGATAGACGTTATCGCCTCACGAATTGACCGCTGAAAAAATTTCCACAATGCGCCCAGTATGAGCGGACTTGCAAAGATTGGCGGCACGCTGCAATTGCTTTCTGTCCCCTCATCACGATGGAAGTACAATGGAAGCAGGGAGGGGTGGCATTGAAGAAGAGGGCGTGTCATGCATGCCTCGTGACATTTAGCAATTTTTCTCTCTCTTTTCTTTCTTCTAACACGCAACTTTTCAGTGCAAATGCACTCGCATGCATGGATATATTGCGGTCTCTTGCGGCGGACCGAGTAACTCTCGAGTAAGCCATGTCAAATTAGCGATGAGCTTGATACGTGGGTCTTTGATGCAATGATTTTTGAGTATATAGCATTATTTGTCGTGAGAAGAAACAATCATTTTCAGCTTATTTTGGGAATTTACTGTAAGTTCCAGGCCCATGCTGTGCTGTAATATTTGGCTCGCATGTTCTCGGGAGCCTCGACTACCGATCGGCAGCGCTTTGTGGCTGTACTCAAAAAGTGTTGCAGGGCCCCTTTGACAAAAACTTTGTTTGAAAGGCTCTGCATCATAAAAATGTTTCTCATTTTGTGGTCTCATCATTTGAATGAGTGATGTTTCTATGCCATGGGCCG